TGACCCGGTTATGCCCCCCCCACCCCCCCCCCACGGGGACAACACGCTTGAAAGAAGCCGCCTTCAGATCGTTCGATGCGCGAAACCAAGGGCTCTAGGTCATACAGTAGGTCTCGGCAGTTGAAAGGACACACTTTTTTGACTACCCAGGGTCCGCTTTGGCACCGGTACCTTATGCGCGGCAACGGCGAGCTCGGAAAAAGCCGCTTCTGGGTTGACTTTCAGTCATGAGATGCGCGACGGCGACATTGGCGTCTGACGCGAAGGGATCCGGGCAGTAAGTGTCGTTCGTTTCACTCCGCTCTCACTCCTCGATCCCATGTCTGAAGACAGTAAATCCCCCAGGGCCGCTTCTGCATCTTCCACGGCGGCGCGGCAAGCTGGGAAAACCCCAGCTTGGCTGCGCGGTGTCGGAAGGCCCCGGAGCCCCGAGTCTGCCCTTCCGACTGCCGCCGTCGCCACAAACGGCTCCCGAATTCCCGCCGACGCTCATCCCTCTTCTCCGCCTCACTTCCTTCCCCGCAGCTGCTGGCGCTCTAATAATAGGACAACAATGCCCCCAGACGCACATTCACAGACACTTAGTCCCTCCCGCCCTGCCACTAGCGCTGCTGCTACTACTACCGCCGCACGGAAAAGTTCCCCGAATGGAAGATGACGGCAAACTTCCAGCGTGAAGTCTCACGAGGATCGGCTGCGCAGTGCGTCGGCGGCGGGGAAAGATGACGGCGTGAAATCCGGGTGGGGGGGGGGGGGGGGTAATCCGGGGGGGGGGGGGGGGGCTTTTTTCCTTACCTCAGCGTCGCATCCCAAGCAAGAAATCCCAAGCAAAGCAACAAGTAGTAGCTCCGGGTTCCCTTGTTGTTGTTTTTTTTTTTTCTTTTTCTTTTTTTTGGACGGGTTTCCTCCTTCCGCCTCCTGCGGGCCCTCATGCAGGCTGCTCGCCGTGAGCCGACCGAGCGAGCGACTCCCCGGCGACGCGAGAGTGTGTGAACGAGAGTGAGAGAGAGCGCATGTGTGTTCCTGAGCGAGGACTCCTGCGGGGCTCCCCCTCCCTGCCCCCCCTCCATACCATTCCGCCACCTCCCCCCTCCCTCACGCTCTCTGACAAAGCAGGAGCGTCCCCTTCTTTTCTTCTCATCCTCACTCATTTCAGTTAGGAAGTCAACTGTTTCGTCCCCCCCCGCCCCCCCTCATTGTTGAAAGAAGGTAGAGGGAACAACGTGTTGTTCCTCAGGGCGAAGGGGGGGGGGGCAGGAGGAGGAGTCGGGAGCCAAATTCCAATGTCGCTGTCCAGCCAATGGGAGGCTTTGTTGCGGCTCAAGCGAAAAACCGCGGGGCCGGGCTCGGGCCTCTCCAGAAACAATCCAGCTCTTCGGCACTGAAACCCCCTCGTGGGGTTTTCCACACTGCCATTGCAAAAAATGAAAAGGAAGATCTTACATTGAGGCAAACTAGGCTTCTGCTTCTTTGGCAAAATACAAGATTTCTTCCGACCGGGCAGTTTTATTTTTTTTTTTGTTTTTTTTTTAATACCCGGACACTAAAATAAAATCATTAGCACGAGTGGCTTAAGACACACACACACACACACACCCCCACACGCACGCCGGGGCAGTGACATCGTAAGCCGAGACGTGGGCGGGGCCGCGGTCTCTCGAATGACAAAGTGATGAACCGGTCACATTTCACGTGCCTCATATGAAGCCCAAATCAAGTTGAGACGACGTTCTAGGAGGCTTTTTGTGACCGCTGTGAAAAATGGGAAACTGCGCAGCAGTAGCACGCGGCGGCCTTCAGGCTGAGCTAACAATAGCGTCAACCACCGGCAGCGGTTTACACAAAGGGCAGAAAAGTGGATGTTTTCTTGTCGGCAAAGATTGCCATCTCGCAGGGTTCACGACTCCCGGCTCCTCGGGGCTAAATTTAACCCTGCGGCCTGCCACTAAATCGTCGTCCCTCTCTTAAAACGAGATTACAGCGTAAAAACACACACACACACACAAAACTGCAGGTCCACTTCTAAAATATACTCGCGTCTTTGCACTAAACTGGAGACGGTTAGCACACGACAAAACAAGCAAGGCGACGCTACGCTCGTATAAAAAGCGACGCGCATTCTTCCCTGGCAGAAACACACACAAACAAAAAAAAAATGCAGACGGCGACCACTGTTTACATCTGGATAAAATCTGGTCAGTTCTGGATCAGTTAAAGACACACTTGTGCGGAAAATGGAACACAACCGGGGGTCCCTCATTTGCAAACAAACCCAATCGATCTTCCTTCTTTTTGTTCTTTGTAAGTGCAAATATATAAACCAATAAGCGAAACGTATTATTTCGGATGGAGGAGTTGTAAGCCCGGCCGGTACTGTAACGCCGATGACACGCGTCGGCGGTGCGCCGGGTGGTGAACTTTGAGCATTGAGTGGATGAAGGGGACCCCTGGAAATAGCCCCCAAAACTTTGCCAAGCCTCGCTCGCCGTAAAAGATGACGGCTGCCCTTCTTCACGTTGCGCTGGGAGCTGCTGACGATGTTCTCCGAGCGTTCGCGCTAGCTTGGCTTTGGGCGCTACTTTCAGAGGACGACTCCTTTCGTTCCCAAAGCAAACTGCTGAGTGGACGACGGGAGTCGGCGAAACGGCGGAGCTCAAACGCCGCTCTCTTGTTTGAGTTATGCGGCGTCGCCGTGGATCCAAAACATACGCTAAGTGCGGGAGAATGTCCAGAATCAGCAGAACTCCCGCCGGCAGTCACCCAAAAAATCCTAAACTGGAGCCTTGCCCAAGGACACGTCTCCCCCCCCCAGGTATTCGGGTGGCCAAGGGCCCTGTACTGTATCTCACTCGACGAGATCCACCCCCGCACTGAACAGCGGCCGAATCGTATCTCCGCATTCAGAACCAAAACAAGAGCGGGCCGTTTTTCAAAGCGTCAGGCCCGAGTCAGTCATGTGACCTTGACGCAGCGAAACAATTTCTGCTTTGAAAACGCAATGATCTCGATTCATCGCCGACAAATTGCTCATCTGCATCTTCGCGTCGTTCCAAAAGCTGTCCGCCACGCCGATCCGTTTATTCGCGGTCGTGGCGCCTCATTTCTTTTTCAACACTTTCTCACTCTGCCCGAAATGTCAAAAAACGGCCGGCATCGAATGAGTCGTTATCCGCTGAAAAATGCATGGCGGGCGGCAAATGGCCCCCGGGCCCTCATTTGCTCGACGCTCGTGGGTCAGGGTAGGGCTCGGCTCGGCTCGGGTTACGTTGGGGTCGGGTCTGCGAGGGGGCAAGGTTGGGGGCGTCATCCGATCCGGCCGCGTGCGTAAATGCGGCCGTGGGCCGGAGAGCTTTTTGGGCTTCCTTAACGCTCGCGTTTCCGCCTCCGAGTTTGCCTTTTCTTTCACGTCGTCATCCCGGGAGATTGAAGAAACGATTCCCAGCGGGCACGGGGACAAAAACGTCATTTTCGGCTTTAGTTCAAGCCAACTTTTATTGCTACCGCCCCCGCCACACCTCCCTTTTTTTTCTTTTTCTTCTTCTTCTTAATGATCCGGTTGAGCCCGAAACATTCCGGGCGGCGGCGAGGGGGGAGAGAAAACACGACACTGTCGCCTTGATCCTCGCCGGATTTATTTGCGTACATAACTCTTTTCTCTGCCTCCGACGACCCCCCTCCCCCCTTGCCCCTCACGCCCCCCCCCC